CGTGCTGGAAAACCGGTTATTGTTGTTGCTTTGAGGTCGGGCAGCTGCAAGAGAGTCTTCTCACACAGTGAGGTGCCTTAAGACACCCAAATGGGAAGGTCACGTATGTGGTTGGCTATCCTGTTTTTGCAGTTTTAAGGAGTTTGTGCTAGAGAGAGCAATTTGAGGGTCATTGGCAGACTGATGGCAATTTATATGGATGAGATTGTGTTGGACAGTTCTCCAAATGTGCTCCTTCCCACCAGCAGCATCAATAGCCCCTGGAAATCTGTTAGGAATGCAGATTCTCCAGTCCTGCCCTAGATCTGTTGGATCAGGACCTTGGGTGGGGCCCAGTAGTCTGTGTTTTGGGAACCGCTCAGGTGATGCTGATGCACTCCATCTAATTCTGGGCTAGGGAGAGAACATGGAGTGACAAGAACTTGAGTCTGGGATTGAACCTTGAGAAGCTCTAACTTTTAAGGATGGGAGGTGAAGGATGTCTTTGCCAAGGAGACTGGGTAGGAGCCATGTCTGGAGAAGTAGAAAAAAAATCCAGGAAGCCAGTGAAAAGAGTATTCAAAGGGGCAAGATACTTGTCGCCGACAAGTTCAGTCAAATAATGCTTGGGAAATGTCCCCTGGGCTTGGAAGAAGCAGATCTAGAGAGATAGAATGTAGATTACTTACTGCCAGGGGTTGGGAGGGAGAGGGAGCAGTTACTGTAAATGGACACAGAGTTTCTTTTTCAGGGAACACAACCGTTTTGGAATTAGTGGTGATATGAATTGTGAATATGTCAAAAGCCACAGCATGGTGAATAGACTAAAAGAAATCACCGAATTGTGCACTTTAAAAAGGCTGAATTATGAATTTTATCTCAATTAAAAACAAAGCCCCCCTGCCACCCCCAGCTTCGCAATGTGGAGATAATTGGTGACTTTAGTGCAAAATGTTCATGGCATGGATGAGAGAGAATATAGAACAGAGGTTCTTAAGATTCAAGAGGAGGGAAAATGGAAGCCAGGAGAGAAGTCATCCTTCAGAGAAGTCTCGTTTTAAAGGGGAGGCCAAAGGGAGGGTGGTGGTTGTGGGGAGATACCAAGTCCAGAAACTCTGGGATGGTTTTCTTCTTTTGAAGATGGTAGGGACGTGAAAGTGTTTAGATTCTGTTGGGAAGGACCCAGGGGAGAGATCTGGAGAAGAAAGTGATCATCAGTTGTGTTGAATAATGATACAGTTTCAGAGTTGAAGGGACTTCTTTGGTTAATGATGTTTTCCTAATCTGGATCTCCATTTCATACAACAAAGTAGGCGAAAAATAATCCTGAAGCAGTCCTCCGATTCAAACTTGAACATTGCATGGGGGCGGTAATCCTGCTGTCTTCCAGGGCCAACCATTCTATTTTCAGATGGTCTTGACTATATTAGGGGGTTGAGAGAAATTAGCAGGGAAGAACTCATTTATCAGATGGGAGATAATGTTTCTTTTATAGAATAAAACTTCTCTTCTTCTGAAATGGACTTTAATCTTATTTCCACCATTTCCTTCATTCCCACTCCCCAAAGGACCCAGTGCTACCAATTCCTGAGCCTTTGGGGAAGTTTCTAGTATTTGTTGGGTTGATTCTCTTTTTCACTGGTACCTTAATATTCAGTTTTCTTGGTTTTGTAATTTATCACCACTCATCTCTCTGATTTCCAGCTTTTGGGATTTTATTGCTACTTTCCCCTCTCTTCTGAATGTGTTGGATTCCATTTTTTAAAAAGCCTTTCAAAATTCTCTTTTTAGTGTGGTTTTGATAGATATTTGTGTCCAATCTGCCACCTCTACCTTCTCTCTCTCTCTCTTCTTTTTAAAGATTTTATTTATTTATTTGACACAGAGCACAAGCAGGGGGAGCAGCAGGCAGAGGGAGAGGGAGAAGCAGGGTCCCCACTGAGCAGGGAGTCCGATGCGGGGCCTGATACCAGGACCCTGGGAGCATGACCTGAGCCGAAGGTAGCCGCTTAACTACTGAGCCACTCAGACTCACCCTACCTTCTCTTTCTCTCTCTCTCTTTTTTTTTTTCTTTCTACCAGAGGACATGTAACCTGTTTTTGTATCCTTCACTTTTATGGTTACTCTCCTTTGACTAAGTAGGAGGTGGGTTCTACTAATTAGCCTTTTCTCTTGCTTGGTACAGGGGCAGGTTTTGGGAACCTATTGTCTTCCTGCGCCCTTCATGAGGATTAATTACCTTGAGTAATGGGTATAATCTCCTTTGGTGTTTCATCTCCTTTCCCCCTTTCTGAGAATGTGACCTCATTTTATTGCAGCACTTACTATATGTCAAGCTGTAAACTTCTCCCTGCCTTTCCAGCCAGCTGTGACTGCTTCGTGTCCTGATTCTGTGCCATGGCATGTTTAACTGGCCCTCCTCTCTCTGGTCTGCAGATTTGACCATCAGGTCACCAGAGCTCTCTTTTCAGGCCCTGGGAAAAACTGTGGCTGGGATAGGACAGGAGATGTCATGATTGTCTCACCAAACTTTGCAGACAGTCAGAAAGACTGGGTGATTTATTTATAACCATTTCTTTTTCTGATGATTGATACATGTGAATTTATTTAGGTGACTCTAGGCATAGGGAAATATATTTCAGAGAATAAGGAGTACCTCCAATTCCTAAAATTGTTTTACTCTTTTAAATAAAAAGAAGTGTTTTTTTTTTCATTTTCTTTACTAAAGCATTTTTATTCTTCTTATTTATTTATTTACTTATTTATTTATTAAGATTTTGTTCATTTATTTGACAGAGATCACAAGTAGGCAAAGAGGCAGGCAGAGAGAGGGGGTGGGGAAGCAGGCTTCGCACTGAGCAGAGAGCCAGATGCGGGGCTTGATCCCAGGGCCCTGAGATTATGACCTGAGCTGAATGTTTAACCCACTGAGCCACCCACACATCCCATAAAGCAGTCATTTCTAATCTAAGGTCTGTGGAGAAAGTTCAGAGAGTTGATGAATTTGTATGGCCAGAAAAGTGTCTTTGTTTTCACTAATCTTATAACTGATAAGATTACATTCAATTATAAATGTTAGAAATAAACTATAGTAGTATTAGCAATATGAATGACTATCACAATAGAAATTACAGATATTCTTATATCCCATTACAGTTTTTGCCTATATCTTATATATTTCACATATCTTATTTATGTTCATTCATTCTTTAAAATTAGAGTCATTCGTAGATCTACTAGATCTTATTATATATTAATAAAATAAGTAAATTATTAAGTAAATATTATGGTATTGTAAGTTTTTTATATTTTGATAAATTTGACTGGATTAGTTTTCTGGTATTCATTTATATTTTATTTTATGTCTTTAAAAACACTATTCTGAGAAAAGGGGTTCACAGGCTTTATCAGATTGCTAAGGGGTTCATGACACACAAAAGATTCTGAGACAAGTGCCTATGAAGGAATATGTGATTATTAATATAAACCATTTTATCTTGGATGTCCAGCTATACCTTTCTCTGTTTTTGTCCATTAAAATTTGCTTCATAATATGTGGTTTATGTCTTTACAAGGTATTTGGAAAAGAGGCTGTTTTGATTTTCACTGACCCATGAGTTCAGATGGCATTAAAAAAAGAAGTCTCGAAATCAGATTTACTTATCAAGAATAACCCTTCCTATTTCTTTAGGTTAACTGAAGTTTCAGGACTTAAGCATTTCTGTTAAGTCGCTTTGCTAACTTACTGTTTTTATATGAGGTCGTCAGGATGCTGAAACCCAGTGATGTTGAAGCAGTCATAGGGTCAAGTTCCCTAGGATGGTTGTGATATAAAACTCAGTTTTATGTTAATTATTTATGTTATATTTTATGTTAATTATGTTAAAGCCCTTCAGGGTCATTTTCTCTCCATGGACATCATCACCTGGTACCTTCCCCACTGCTGCCCTTGGACTGACTTTGTGTGGTACATTTGACTTTGTCATTGGCAGGTCCCTCCCTGATAGCTCTGTTCCTCTGGGTCAGCAGTGGGGGCTGGGCCGAGACACAGAGCCTTGAGGTCAAGTTTCTTGCCTTGGACACCTTGGAACACCGCTAGTGTTAAAGCTCCAGTGCCAGTTCTTGCTTAACTGACCTGAACTTGATACTTCAGTTTTATGTTGCCTAAAGCAAGTCTGCGAAGTTGCTCTAAAAACTTAAATAAAGTATGAAGTACTCAATTTTCGGTGCAATAGATTCCTAATCCTTTCGATACAATACTTCATGGTGCATTAGAAGCTCCCATGGATCCTGAGGGGAGACTGTTTGGAAGCATGACTGCATTTTCCATAGTGTTTTGTGCGGGGGAGGGGGGGAGTTGATGGAGGGGTGGCATTTAATCCATGAAAATAACAGCTAGTTTCTGTTGACCTGCCTGCGTTGTCCTCCTTACATATTTATGCTCGTATTTACTATATTCCTGATGGGTGGTTGTTCCTCTGTATGAATACCTTTAGTGACTGTGAATCTTTTCCTTAGTGAAACAGTCCAGTTCGCTGTTAGTAATATCAAGGAGAGTCATAACATTTATTAGGGGCTTCCTGTATGCTAGGCTCTTATATGGAGGACTTTATATTTAGTAAATGCATTCTGACAACAATCCTATGAATGGTAGATACTATCAGTAACATCATTTCAGAGATGGGAAACTCACAGAGGTAAAATTAACTTGCTCACCGTCCCAGGCAGTATGTGGCAGAGTTGGAATTTGAACAAAGGCAACCTGACTACAGAGCTCAGGCTCTTAGATCTGGTTTTCTTAATTCTGCCTATTGGATTAAAGCAGTTTCAGAAATGCTTCAGTTAAGCTGTAAGGGTAGTTAACTAATAGGATCTGATGTGTTACATTAATTTACCATTAATTAAATTAATTAAAGCTGTGAAACCAAACAAGCAGTCTTCAGTTGACTTTGTTATGTTATTATTTGAATATTCTGAATGTACATTTTTAGTGTCGTTTCTTTTTTGTGTGTGTTTATAGGGATGCTTCCTTTGGAAATTGCACTTACAATCTCACCATCCTCGACTGTTTGCAGGGAATCAGAAAGGTAATAATAATTCTCCTTGCTATAGTTGGTGCAGATGTTTCAAAATATGAAAAAGGAATAATGTCAGTATCCTTGTTTGTCACTGGAGAGAAGACAGGCAGTTAGCAGAAGGCTTTCCACTTCTTGATGGAATGATTGATGTGGAAAATATAGACCATCGGGCAAATTGAAGGGTGTCTGGGGTAACTCTGTAACTCCTGATTGAAGTAGAGGGGGTTTCCCTTCCTTATTTAAATTATTCCTCTTCCTGGGCAATTGTATGACTTGTGTCTGTCTCTGTGCCTGTGACATTGCTTTGTCACTGGGTCAGCTTCCTTATCAAGCCAGCACTTGGTGTGGGAGAGATAGGAAGCCACTGCATACCTCTGTTAGTGTGGAGGGGAACATTTCCATGTTGGTTTCCTACCTGGATTTTGTTACAGTAGTAAGTAGGCCAGATATTATTATCTCATTATTATAGATGAGGAAACAACCCCAGGGAGGTTAAGCCACTCTTAGGGCTACGGGGAGCTATTAGCAGGGCTAATTCTAACTCACATTTCTTTATCAATTTGGAGCTTTCTAACATCCTATCAGGGCATCTTATAAATCAATGGTTTGTCAAAATATGGGGCTTGTTAGAGATACAAATTCTCAGCCATCCTCCGAGACTGACGGAACCATAAATTATGGGAGTGGGGCTGTGCAGTCTGTGTTTGACACTCTGGGTGATTTGATACACTTTACAGTTTGGAGGCATAGATTAGTTATTCATATGTATAATGGAGAAGTGAATCCAAAATATTTTTGAGAACTTTTAGAACATGTTCTAGAAGCATTGATTTACTGAGAAGTCATGCATGCTATCCGGTGAATTTCTTTTTAAAAATATTTTTAAAGATTTTATTTATTTATTTGAGAGAGAAAGAGAGAGAGCATGAGCAGGTAGAGGGTCAGAGGGAGAAGCAGACTCCCTACAGAGCAGGGAGCCCATGCAGAGCTCCGTCCTAGGACCCTGGGATCATGACCTGAGCCGAAGGCAGACACTTAACCCACTGAGCCACCCAGGTGCCCCTATAGTGTGAAATTCTAATGAAGTTTCAAAGTACATCATTCCATCTTGAACATATAGCCATGATGTATCACTCAGGAATGTACATGTTGCATAGCCTATGGACAAGGGTCATTATGGACTATAGATACACCAGGAGAATGATTCTTGTTCTGGTTTCATTTCTGATGTAAGACTGATTTTGTTACATTTTAAGTTGAGAAAATTGGTATGATCAGTATGCTACTTTTATGTATGTTTGTTTTTGACTTTAATATTTCATTTAAAAATGAATTTAAACTCTGTGAAATTTTAAGATAGTTCCAAGTATTTTTCTTTCCATTTAAAGATTGTCAGCATACTGTAGGCCCCCCCCATAAGTAGTGTCTCCATCCTAGACTTCTAGTAGCACAAGTTAAGAACATGTATGGAGAGATAATTCAATATATAATTCACAACTATAGCATTAAAAAAGTATGCCCGGGGGGGGGAATGTAATTTATTTATTATTGTTGTTATTATTTTGCCTATTCTGCCACCTGGTACAGGCTGTTTCTTTTATAAATGTATGAAGTTCAGAAAGAGTTAACATTGGAATATCCTCGCCTATTATGGTAACTTGGTAACTGGGTATAGAAATTTATGACATCCTTCCTGTTAGAGAGGAAAGGTGTGACTTTGTTCATGGATAAGGTCTTCTGTAAATTTCTTGTTTCATCGAGAGCTGGGGCTTCTTTTACCCAAACGTAGATGAGATTTTAGAAGATCTGACAGATGTTCAACATGTCCTTAAGCAACTGAGACACATTATCCCCCTCCACACTTACATAAAGCCTTGTGTTGTGGGCAGTTGCGTGGCAGTGAGGACCATACTCCTAAGAGTGTAGACAGAGTATGGCTGCATGTTTGCCTTGTTTGGAAGCATATCTTTCTGATTTTGTTGCATTGGCATCATCATAAGCATGGTTTTACCTGGGTGTGAACTACACACAGAAACATAAGCAAACACACACTTCAAATGAAGAAATAAGGGAGGAAGGTTATAGTCCTGGCTCTGTTTTTCTCACTTCTTTCCCGGGAATGGTACAGATGGATCTACTAAGTTGCTATATTTAAAGGTGAGATAATTTAAATAACTTGCTTTGCTTATAATAGTAGTGGTTGACTAACTCAGCAGTGTCAGGATTTATCATTTATAAGAATCACCTAGAAGGCATATTAACATGTTGATCCTACCCCCAGAGAATCACATTTAATAGTTCTGGGATATGGGGTTTAGGACTCTGTATTTTATTTTATTTTTTTTTATTTTTATTTTTATTTTTTAAAGATTTTATTTATTTATTTGACAGAGAGAGATCACAAGCAGGCAGAGAGGCAGGCAGAGAGAGAGGAAGGGAAGCAGGCTCCCTGCTGAGCAGAGAGCCTGATGCGGGGCTCGATCCCAGGACCCTGAGACCATGACCTGAGCTGAAGGCAGAGGCTTAACCCACTGAGCCACCCAGGCACCCCAGGACTCTGTATTTTAAATCTAAATTACTGAGGTGCTTCTTTTGTAGGTAATTTGTGTTCTGCATTTTAAAAAAAAAGATTTTATTTATTTGACAGACAGAGATCACAAGTAGGCAGAGAGGTAGGCACAGAGAGAGGGGGAAGCAGGCTCCCTGCTGAGCAGAGAGCCCGATGCGGGGCTCGATCCCAGGACTCTGAGATCATGACCTGAGCTGAAGGCAGAGGCTTAACCCACTGAGCCACCCAGGCACTCTGTGTTCTGCATTTTAGAAAATGCTGGTCTCGAATGTATTTTTGAAGATAGATGTCCTGGAGCTTGGCTTCATAGTTTCTTCAATTTTTAACGGTTCGAATATGTAACTTTTAAAAGTAACAGTGGTTTTGTATTCTATTACAGTCTGTACAGCTTCATGACTTATAAAATAAAACATTGTCCTCTTCAAAATATTATATTTGAGCAAGCTAGATAGTTTTTAAAAGTTATAAGTCATTAGTTATAAAAAAGAGTAATGAATGTGTTCTTTGTGTTGTTAAAAAGTACCAGCTCTTCCTCTAAATTGTAAGAGCAGACAAGTACACTTTTACTCTGTCAGTGACTATGACCATAAAACAAATGCTCTCGAGCAGTTTTAGGAACAAAGAAGGGCCTATGAAGTAAAAATGCCCTTTTTGCTAAGTATCTCATTAATGATCAAAGGAAAACAAAACCTCCCAAGAATAATTGATTTTTCTTCTCCTATCTGAAAAGTTAATTACTGTTATATATTCTATCATAGTTTGATATGAATTAATTGCCCGGTTCCCAATAGGTTTTAACTCTACATTTGCTAGTATGTTCCATTTTATATACACAATTAATTTACTACATACAAAACTAATGTAAATAAGGACTCTAGATATATTTTGCAGGACAAATTTTCATGCTTTTCTTACTGTTAAGTCCCACTTGTGAGATGGTCTCAATGCACACTTATCAATGTTAGAAGGTGATTTCTAGATACACATTTTAAATGAAAGGTTTCAAGCTTTTCAAACTTCAGATTAGTGAGAATCATTTGTGAGCAGGAATTCTAGGAATGGCTAGAGGACTTACCAATTTGGTGTGGAAAAACTAATTCAAATTCTGCTTCTAGGGATTACAACATGGATTTTTTGACTTTGAGACATTTGATGTGGATGAATATGAACATTATGAGGTTTGTACATTTTAATTTTTTACAAGATATAATTTCATTTAATTAAAATCCCCTGTACTCCACTCCCCCACCTTGTTCCCTCCCCGGCCCCAACACTCAGGTATTGCAAATTGAGTGACTCCTAAAGTAAAAGCATTCTGGGGGGTTTCTACAGCTGTCAGTTTTTTCCTTTCAGCTTTGGTTATTGCCTTTGAACCAGGAATACCAGAATTTTAGTTTGGGAAAATGTTTAGTTTGGGAAAAGGACATTATCTGTGATGTCCTTTCACTAAACTTCCATTAACAATTACTTTGCACATTTAATTTATAAGAAAAAATAATTTCAAAATATAGTTTGATAGAGAAACTGAGTTACTGTTATTTTAAAAATTCAGATTCTGTTTAAAACAAAACTTTACTTGTAATATTTTTGTTATATTGTAGTATCTTTTGACTGCATAAATTTAATTTTTAAATATGGTAATTGAATTTACCTAGTTCTACGAATTGGCTGAATTTTTTTTCCCATTGCATCATGGAGGTTTTGAATAATGTCTTGCTTGTTCAGTGATGCAGAGTTTAGGCAAGGGCTGTCCCAGCTAGGTTGCTGTATAAGGAGATGTTGAAGAAACAGCTTTTCTGGAAGATGAGAAGCCTGTAGAATGCGAGTAGGCCCATATTCTATGGAAGTGAACTCACCTGTTGGGGTTCTCCAGACGACTTGTGAAATGTATCACTACTCTGAGCAAGAGAGGGCAGCCCTTCCCCTTTGCACTCTAGTTCAGGATCTCTGTTTGGATATCCTTCTTATAAGTTAAACTTAACCAGTCTGAAAAGAAACTGACCATCTTCCACTCCACTACGGTCTTCTGCTTCATTCGTCTGTATTAATGGTACTACCTATCCTGCAGTTCACCCAGGCTCAAGAACAGGAATGCTTCTCTTTCCCTCCCGAATCAAACCAGTATTTGAATTCCTGCTGTGTGTTTCATCTTCCCTGTGCTCTCTGTTCTCCCTTCCTTCCCTCTGGCTCAGGTGTCGTGCCCTCTCTTGTGGACTATGAGAAGCACTCTCTAATGAGCATGGGTCCTTCTCCTTTTGGTCAGTTTCTCATCCACGTGACTTGAGGGATCTTAGAACAGAACTCTCATCATTCTTGGCCCTAGACTGCATTGCTTTGCAGAAATGGGGATCACCTCCTCTGTGCTGGCATTCTTAGCATGGATGGGCTCCAGCCCGCCTCGAGAGCCTTGTCTCTTGTTTGCTTTTCATGCGCCTTCTGCCTGCCAGCCCCACAGAGCTGCATGCTCACGGTTTCCCTAGTGTCCCCATGTCCTGGCTGAGCTTCCTTTCTGCCACATGCCCATCCCCTCTAGCGTTTCCCCTCCTCTGTTTTGTGTGGGTCACATCTACACAGAGCATTACTCTCTTGAGTATTTTCTCCCTTCACTTTCATGTGTTACAATTTGTACTTTCCATGTTTCCTGTATCTTGGTTTTATTTTTCTTACTGGGTTGCAAATTCCTTGTGGATAGGACATGACTAAGTGGAAAAATACATACTGAATACTTGGATAGAAAGGTTTAATATCATAAAACTGCTATTTCTCCTCAAATTAATAAATGTAGTACAATTTATTAAAAATATTGAATTTTTTTAGCCATAAAAGCATGGTTGTCATGGCATTTTTAGTAGCAAAAAAAAGAATCCCCCCATCAAACCCCACCCCAGCTAGAAACAGAGACTGTGCACTCATAAGGGAAGGCTGAATGATTTATAGTATATACACACCATAGAATGTTATGTGCTGATGTGAAAAAGTGAATTTGAGCTATACCACTTGACTTGGAATGATTTCTATAATACATTGTTTAGAAGAAAAGATACAGATAAGTGCTCGTAATATAATCCCCTCCTTTAATTAACAGTAAAAGATCCCATTTCACCCATATATGTATATCTGTATTATGTGAGCAGAGTTGATTTCCTGTGACGCTATTAAAACTGAAATTTTAGAGGACCCCCCCCCCACACTTGTGTGGGCATCTTTTAAGGTCCTATACCTAATTTTGTATTCATAATTTTGTATTCTTTTCTTAAAGTGGACTTCCAAATTAGATGTTTCATGCTCCATGTATATGAGCATGGAGAAAATGATATGGCAAAATGCGAAGTCTATTTCCATTAAAGGAGATACTGGGGTGGACACTCAAGAGGAGGAGAAAGGAACAATACCACAATAAAAAGAAAAAATTAGTTGGCATTTTACTTATTCCTTCATCTTTTTTTAAACCTTAATGTGGATGTCGAGAGGTAGTTGGAAAAGCTATTGAAAAACCTGAGACAGTAGAGTTTAATTCTTGCAAACCAACCAACTGGCCAACTAAAAAAAAAAAAAAGTCTGTTAAGAATGTGGTCATACCGGGGCGCCTGGGTGGCTCAGTGGGTTAAAGCCTCTGCCTTTGGCTCAGGTCATGATCCCAGGGTCTTGGGATCGAGCCCCACATTGGGCTTTCTGCTCAGTGGCGAGCCTGCTTCCCCTTCTCTCTCTGCCTGCCTCTCTGCCTACTTGTAAAAAAAAAAAAAAAAAAAAGAATGTGGTCATACCCTCGCCTGAGTAAACGAACAACCATAACAACAACCACAACCCAGGTAATAATGGGAGGCAGGAGGCAGTTGGTGAACATTTGAAAAGTTTTCTGTCAAATTGCTTCCTTTCTGAGAATGATATATCCATTCTATCATAAAGCCCAGGAAAAGAAAATCACAAAGAGAAGTATGCTTTTTGGGGAGTGAGCATGTCATAAATGCTACTTAATGAATAAATAAAGGAACTCTGTTCCCGACAGTCTGTGGGCCTGATACTTTCTTGTCATAATTTCGCTCACTGTTCTCTCACCTGCCTTAGTGAGTTTGGACAATGGGTGAACTTGTGGGATAGCTAGAGACACATATTTTGTGTTTTCCAACAAAGCCGGTATTCCAATGGAGACATTGTGGTTTTCAAAGTAAAATTTTATCATTGACAGCAAATTAGGAGACTGTAAGTCTTGGATTAGTGGGGAACGTTCAGGATGAAGTTTTTCCAAGACACTTCTTGACAGAACTACATTTAATATATAATTTGGCTCAAGAAGAAGCCTATATTAATGAGACTGCATCTCTGTGTGAGATTGAAGGGCATTTTTATGATAAGAATGCCAAATGTTAATGACAAGATCAGCAGAACATAAGAAATACTCACTTTATAAAGTCTACAGGTAAATCTCCGGCCATTCTGCAAAGGGTTATGTCCATTGTCCTCCTGTGATTCATGGGTCTAGAGCAGTGCTGTCCAATAGGAATATAATGAGAATTATAGATACTTTAAACATTCTAGTAGCCATATTTAGGAAAAGTAAAAAGAAATGATAAAATTAATTTTAATATATTTTATTTAATCCAATATTCCCAAAATATCATTTCAACATGTAATCAGTATAAAATCATAATAAATAATAAATAAATAAATAATGATAAATTAAATAATAAATATTTATATATATAAATAAATAAAAACAATAAATAAATAAATAATATTAATGAAGTATTTTACATTTTTATTTTTGAACTAAGCCTTCAAATCTCAGCATGTAGTTTGCTCTATGGCACATCTCAGTTTGGACTAGTCACTACTAGTCACTACTAGTTTGGACTAGTCACTACTAGTCACTACTACTACTACTACACCCAATATGGAGCCCAGTGTGAGGCTTGAACTCATGACCCTGAAATCAAGACTGAACTGAGATCATTAGTTAGAATCTTAACCAGCTGAGCCACCAGGTGCCCCTGGACTAGTCACATTTCAAGCGCTCAGTAGCTACATGTACCTAGAGGCAGATTCTGTGGGGACGGTCTTGACCATGAACTATTGGAGTTCCTCAGAACGACATGGAGCCTGGGATAAACAGAACAGTTTATATGGCCTTGCTTTAGGTGATCTAATTATTCACATAAGAGTTAAAGCCCTGTCATATTTAGAGGGGTTTGGGTAAGATATCTCAGACTCTTGCTCTATTTTCATGGGACTTGCAGAATGGTCCATTAATTATTGATGAACAAAAGTATCTTCCAAAATGTGGTCTCTCAGGTTCTTTACCACGCTGTTGAACTGTGCATTCTTCACTTTGGTGCTGATCAAATAGTTGTAATTCTGACAGCTATGCTGTGAAGGTCCCATAAAGTAACTGCAAGAAGATAGCCCCAAAACTTGCCCTAAGAATCAGTGTCCAAACAATCATACTTTTCCAACAGGTTTCTCAAGGTATTTTCTTTTTCTTTTTTTAAAAAAGATTTTGTTTATTTATTTGAGAGAGAAAATGAGAGAGGGAAAGAGAGAGCATGGTGAAGGGAGGGTCAGAGGGAGAAGCAGGCTCCCCGTGGAGCAGGGAGCCCCATGAGGGACTCGATCCTGGGACTCTAGGATCATGACCTGAGCTGAAGGCAGTTACTTAACCAACTGAGTCATCCAGTTGCCCCCTATCTCAAGGTATTTTCAAACAACTGAGAGAGCAGTCACTCCTGTGAAACATGGCCATTCATGGGTTTACTTGAAAAGTGGAAATAGACCTTTGGCCCATGGGAACAGCAGTGAAGATGAAAGAGCTTCAATATTGAAATTATGTTTCTGTGGGTATGTGAGGAGCTGTACCCTCACATACCTCTATATGGTAACTGCTCATGTAGGATAATCTGCCTGTGAGGCCCTGCAGTAGCATCCATACACAGAGTCCGCCTTCAGTCAGCCTTTTTAAAACTCTTTTTGGGGGGACTTTCCTTACCTTGCCGAAAATGAATGGTGCTGCTCTTAGGCATTATTTTAAGTCATTATTCCTCAAAGAGAGCTTGAAGTTGTGTCTTTTGTTTGTTATTTGGATGTCTCTGAGGGGCTTTCTACTGTTGACCGGAAGTCTGCCGTCTTTGATGATGTCTCTGTGTTGGCCACACACAGACTCCCAGAGCAGCATCCTGTCCCCAGG